TCTTCTAAGAATTGCAGTCTGCTTTTCTTTCTCTTACTGTTGTACTAGCTGGAAAGGCATCCTCTCAGCTACAGCCGATCTCTAATTGTGCCCACTGCCCCTAAGTGGACCTGAAATGCTTCTGGTTTTCCTAAAGGGAAGCAATTGAGGAAAGCCCCAACTTCCAAATTTGACAGTTGAATCAGGAAATTTCAAATCCTTGCCTTTTAACAGTTTTAAATTTGAAGTTAGTTTCCTTTACCTCCTGATCCATATTCCAATTGCCCTAGTCCTTCACTTCCTGTAAGTTTTCTCTTGCTCCACATGGAACTGGCTCACTCTCCACTGAATGTGGGGAGTGTCCCTTTTTTTCTTGGCTTTTCTGCACTTTTTACCAGGTTCCAAGGTAAAGCTGCAATGATTAACTTGATGCATTCCTGACAGATTCACTGGAGAGGGAAATCACACTATTACTTAGTGGAGGGACAGTGATAGAAATTGTTTGCCTTACATCGGCAAGGCTGGGCAGCCTACTGGACAACCCCTGCTCCTTTACCTAAAAACAGAAACTGAAGATTTGTCCACAAATTAATACAGTAGAATTTAATCTCACTTGAGGTCAGGTTTGAAGTGAAAATCAAGAATGATTAAAATTAACCTCAACATACTATACCACTACACCAAGATAAAACAAGATAAAAAGGATTAAAAATTAAAATGTAGAAATAAAATCCAAAGAACATGAGAAACCATGGAGAATTCCTTTATAATATTTATATCTATGACTCAAACTCTAAATTCCATAGAAGAAAACATTAAGTTTAATTACGTAAAATAACACACTTCTACATAAAGAAAAATATAATAAGCAAAGTTCATAGGGAGAGATGTTTCTTCCTACTAATAGAAGAAATTCAAACGAGAAGTTCTAAAGAAATGCCACTTTTAGCCTATCGGGTTGGCAAAAATACAAAAGGTTGACAAGCTGTGGGAAAACAGATGGAGTGTAAACTGGAACAATTGTATGAAGGGAAAGTTAGCACCATTTATCAAAATTCCAAATGCATATGCCCTTTGATCCAGCAACCCCACCCTGGGAATTTATCCTGCAGATTAGCTTGAACACATTAAAAATAATGCGTTTTCAAAATTATTCATTACAGCACTGTTTGCAATAGTGAAATATTAGAAATAACTTCATTCATGTATACAGAGAATATATATACATAGATAGATAGATAGATAGAGAGAGAGAGAATGAGGATGTTCACTATGCACAGATATAGAAATTTTTTCAAGTTATACTGATATGTGAAAGGAAAAATGTGGAAAAATATTTGTACAAAGAAGGGTCATAATATATATTCATATTTGTTTGTATTTGCATATAAGAACTCTAGAAGAACACACAAGAAACTAACGAAGGTGGTCACCTTTGGTATGAGTAGTTTGGAACTAGACAGAGGGACAGGGATAAGGGCAAGATTCTTCATCAAATATATTTTAATTGTTTCATTTTTAAATCATTTGTATTGCCTAATTTTGAAACATAAATTTAAAATATAACCTTGAAAAGTCTCTTAAATTGTCCAGAAAGTCTAGAACATAAGATTTTATACATATGACCCTATTCTGTAATGTTTATGCAAACTAAAGTTTGACAACTTGACTAAAGTAAGAAACAAAGGTTAAGGTACTATGCAGGTGTCTGGGTATTGAAGTCATCCTCCTTTAACATACCCAGCAAATTCCTGGCTGGGAGTGGGTGGGAAATTCTAAAGAACACAGTGCTTGCCTGCAGGGCTTAGGCTAATCCAATTATTAAGCCTCCAGAAAAGATTACTTTGTTCTTGTGCGGATTAAAGGAGCCCCAATTTCAGTGAAGGTTGAAATTCATAGGTTAATTAAATATACATGTGATGGGATTCTATTTCGTGGTGGTCATATTTTCTGAACTGTGCCAGGTCAGGGTACATTGTCTGAGAAGGGCAGCTGTCCCATTGAGGCACCAGGATGTGCTGTCTGAAATCTGTGCTATCCAAGGGAGTTCTAGGAGTAATGATTAACATCACATATGGTTTCCAGAGTGAAGGCTATAGGGGTGACCAAAGTCAGAAAATTTGAATGCACTACTTGGATAATACCTTTTCTTTGTTACCCCCACAGGATGCAGTACAACACAAATCATTCACTGGACATGAAAAAAAAAATGAGAACAAGGAAACACTGAGGAGGCATTTGATTTCATTGATCAAATCATTGAGGCTGAATTCTTAAGTCCCTTTTTACCATGAGACTTTTTAACATACTGATGCAATTTTAATCAATGATGCTGCTTCTGTAGAACTTGGGTGCAATCACTTATTTTAATTCTTCTCATGAAAATTAGTAAAGAAATGGACCATCCAGAACATCAGACTCAGAGAGGAGAGGGTGGTTTTCATGAAGGACCTTGATTCCTCGGCCCAAAATTAGTACTGGTGCCATAGACTATGAAAGACGTTTGAGATTTTGAATAGGAAGATGATAAAAGCAAAATTACCCTTTGGTGAACCTGGCAGTGCAGTTTAGATCAAAGTGGGAAGAGACTGTCCACTGGAAACAAGGGTGAAGGTCATTATAGTATGCCAAGTAGGAGACGATTGTATTGTTTTTGGATACCCCTGCGTTCGCAGAATATGAAAGAATTCACGAGACTCAGAAAAATAGGAAATCAAGATAAGGTTTATTGAAAGTCAGGCAGTAAGGATGCCCATGGCAGTGTCTAGAGAAGACAGCTGCACCGATGAGGAACACAGGCAGAGGAGCTGCCAGGGGCAGAGTCTAGAGTAGACAGCTGCTGTGGGTTTCTGTTTAGCTGGGGTTTTATATTTTTCTGTGCAGGATGTAGGGTGCTTCTCAGTTTGCAAGGGGTTGCTGTTACAATTGGTTTCTTCTGGGAACTGTTCTGTTCCCATCTATGATGGATGTAGGGTGCTTGTCAACCTGCAGGTGCAATGCTAGCAGAGGATTCAGGGCCAAGTGGTTAATTTTTAAGCTCATTCCTGCTAACTCACAAGCTTGTTCCGGTTAACTTATTACCTGTCTCATCAATGATGACTGGTGCATTGAAAGGAAGAGGAGAATGTAAGTACAAGTCACCAACTAGTTGTGAGAGCAAAGTAGAGTCAAAGAAAACCTTGAAAGTTGAGATTGGTTGGCTGGGGGAAAAGAGGTGTCATTAATGACATGGGAGACATATGACATGTTTGGAGGCAAGCAGATGAGGGGTGTAAGGGGCCAGCAGAGCATTCAAAGGTTAGAAAGGAATCCTGGTGCTTTGAGAAATGCTGAGGCTGGAGATGTGGATTTGGAAGAAGCCACGAGAGTGAGTGAAGTCACCAGAGGCACGGATAACATCTTAAAATCTTTTTTTTTTAAGATTTTTTTTATTGGGGAATTGGGGGGATGGGAACAGTGCTGGGGAATTGGGGGAAGGGGAACAGACAAGTTGCTGTCGTTTTTGTTCTTCAGTCTAGTTGTGGAGGACATTGCTTCACTGGCCCAAGTTGGCACCATCATTGCGCTCTTCCCAGGCGAGGCACATCAGTCACCAGCTTCTGGACGGCCGCTCACTGCGGCTGCTGGCTGCTCACGCTGGCTGCTGGCTGCATACGGTAGCCCGTGGCAACCCACTGCCACAGGGGCTGCAGCCTATGCCATCGCCGGCGACTCAAGGCAACCCAGCTCCAGGTTGAGCTGTTGTTCAGCATCTTAGCTGTGGAGGGCAGTGTCACTGGCCCTCATATGTGGGATCCGAACCGGGGCCCTCTGGTGTCCCAAGCCAGTTCTTAACCATCGCGCCACTCGGCCGGCCCTAAAATCTATTTTTAAAATATGTATCTTACCTAGTTCCACAGAGGTTTTGAAGTGGCCTTCAAGTAAAAAGACAAGTAATTTAAGACAAAAATCTGAAGTAAAATGAGTGGAGAGAGAAGGAATCTGATGAAAAGTATAGCCACCAAACACAGAAGCTGTGGGAAAGAAAATAAAGACAGAGATAGAGAACGAGAGAAACGGCCTGAAGATAGACTCTTCAGCAACACTTTCAGTTGGAGTTATTACTAAATTCCCAGACTTCCATCACCTAAAGAACTAAAACCGGATGAAACTAATAATTCCAGGATGCCCATCCTAGACACTCAGGGGTATGAATTCAAAGGCTGCCCGTGTATAAATATTTTTTGATGCCAAGTCAGTATAAATCTATATTGATGCGTTGGTCACTAAACACTTCACCAAGTTCATCCCATTTGCCCTGATACTTTTCTGTACCATCTCCAGCTTCTTAAATGCAAACAAACTTTATATTTTTTAATACCTAGGATTAATTACAGATTTCTGAAGTTTTTACTTCCTACTTGGGTAAAATTTAGAAAAAAAGATTTATCCTCACTCCTTCCCCCTCTCCTCTCCTCACATGCAACTATTTCTTCATAGCTAAGGTCCCTGTAGGGTTTAATGAGGCCTCTTTCAGTGGTGCCAAATGGTGGTTTGGGGTTAATGTTTCTAGTAAGTAGGAAAAAAAAAAAAAAAAAGAATGTTGGGTTTCGCTGTTGTAGCACAAGTTACAACATATGCTAAATAAAGTCATCCTTGGCGCCAGTTTCATTACAAAAACAGATTCACCCTTATGTAAGAACATCTTATCTGATGATTGAGGTGATGATTGCTCATATCAAATAAAATCAGTTTCTAGCTCTTGAGACTGTGGGCAGGTAGGGAGATGGAGCCGAAAGGGTGAGAGGTTTTTTTAATTGCACACAATTGCTAAATTATCTTGTGTAAAATAATAGTCACCTGTGAAAACTTGTCACATTATAATGATTCCTTGAAATCGAGACTGGAAAGCGAATATTATCCCCATGACCTGAAAGAAAATAATATTAACATTTAGTAAAATGCAGTACATTCTGTCTTGAATATATTTAAATTAAGCATCTCTAAAAATAAGAGCCTCACCGGCTTGCTGTGTTTAACAGGGGAAGTGCACTTTGGAGGTCATAAACATTTTTATGTGGAAATTCAAGGCAAAGGATAAAGAAATGGACATACTTGTGTCAAGCCAGGATGAAGCATTTACACAGGTTGGTTCCTATCTAGTCATGATTTTTGGATCATGTTGATGCATTTCTAAATGAGATGTTGTCGTTTTCTTGATTTATAGCTGTGGAACTCTGTATAAGAGCTAATGTTTAATCAAACATTGAACATCAAGATAGAAGCACAGCCCAGTCCCAATTTTTATCAGTCTTCTCCCTCTTCCTCTCAGATGACGATTGCCCCCTACTTCAGTAATAATAATAATGATAATAATAATAATAATAATAATAATAATAATTGAGGCCATCAGGTATGAACTGTCCCAATCCCCATCTCCACTTCTCACCCTCACCACACATAGTTTCAGGGCCAATCTTTATACCCTTACCTTTGGTTCCACTCAGCCTCCACAACTGATTCACTTACAGGTGAGCTAGTTTGTGTCTTGAGCATCCCAAAGAGCACTTAACTACCATGGAAAAGGGTTGGGGAGCCTTCAGAGGGAAATTGAGCAAGTCTCCTGAGGGATGGGAGTGGCAAACAAGTATCAGTGAGCCACACACTCACACAGACTTGGGGGCCTCTATATTCCAGTTCTTAGTCTTTCACTCCTACGAAGTCTATGAGGTCTCTCAAAAGACACTCCAGGTTAACAGCCAAGGGGCTACCATTACCATCAGGCCTAATGATAAGGGCCACTGGTTGTGGCCCAGAGTTGGGCATTTCTCCATTTGTGCTTGTATCTGAGTCAGCAGTGGTGGTTGCACACTATTTCAATATTCTTACTGCTTTTTGCTTAAAGTCATTCTTATTTTCTAACAGCAAAAGAATAAAGAGCAAATAAAACGAGTGATATGATTTGTCAAAAGGATTTTTTGAGATGTAACCCATTGATTTAGAAGGTAAGATAAGGAAAGAACATTCGTATTTTGCTGTTGGTTAAATGAGATGACACCTAGTTACTCAAAAAACTGCTGAGAACTGTGCTTCCTGGAAGAGCTATATAGCTGCAGGACAGAAAAGGGAGGGCCTCTACAATGAATACCTTTAGAACTTTTTGGATTGTGCATATATTACCTATTCAACAAAATTATTTTAAAAAATAAAATATGTAACCATCACTGATGTACATAGCCTGTAAAGGAATGCTGATATGACGCTGGAGGGACCAGATCATAAATTTCACCTCTCTAAAGCAGACCAGATATGTTCTTATGTAGCCCAGCTTCTAGGTAGAGTTTCCAAGTATTCATGGGTCATGAACCATTACACACACACACACACACACACACACATTTTTCAAAAAAGAACATACTCATAATTAAAAGGCATGGGGCATATGTTCAATTTTAGTAGTCTAACCAAAATTAGGTAGACTCTGATCTTAAGAGTTCATAAAGGAGGTAATATTAACTGAAATACTGAATAAAGAAAAGGGTGGGATTCAGTATTCTGAAGGGAAACCACTAGGTTTCTATTATGGAAGTCACAATCCAGGTGATGATTTCTTAGAAGGTTTCTTCTTCTCTTTTTATAGAGTAGACTGAAGATGGAAATGGTCAGAGAAGACACTAGAATTTGAACAACTGCAGTAGTCTGGATGTAAGGAGCTGAAGGCTCAAACAAGAGAATGGCTGTCGAATGAGGAGAATTGGATCCTAGAAATGTGTGAGAAGAAATAAATGTCAGGATTTGAACATGGATTTGTATTTGGATGAAGAATGTGAGAAATTAAGACTTTAAACTTTGCAGAACAGTTCAACATTGATGCCATTAATATAAATGAAGAATCTGGCCAAAGGGTAATAATAAAGGAATCAGAAACATTGCACTTCACAGAGGCAATCCAATGAATAGCTATTGATGACCAATCTTAAAAACTGAAAGTTATGCACAAAAACAGTCACAAAAAGTGGTCTTATCGTGACCCTTAAAAAAGAGCAAGAGTGGGCCGGCCGAGTGGCGCAATGGTTAAGAGCTGGCTTGGAACGCCAGAAGGCCCCGGTTCGGATCCCACATATGAGGGCCAGTGACACTGCCCTCTACAGCTAAGATGCTGAACAACCTGGAGCTGGGCTGCCATGAGTCGCCGGTGAAGGCGTAGGCTGCAGCCCCTGCTGCAGTGGGTTGCCATGGGCTACCGTGTGTAGCCAGCAGCCAGCGTGACTGGCCAGCAGCCACAGTGACTGGCCGTCCAGAAGCCCGTCGACTGATCTGCCTCGCCCGGGAAGAGCACAATGATGGTGCCAACTTGGGCCAGTGAAGCAACGTCCTCCACAATTAGACTGAAGAACAAAAGGACAGCAACTTGTCTGTTCCCCTTCCCCCAATTCCCCAGTGCTGTTCCCATACCCCAATTGCCCAATAAAAATCTTAAAAAAAAAAAAAAAGAGCAAGAGAAAAGGAACTTCTTAAACGTAAAGGTAACTTCCTAGCTGCCTCATTTGTTAGAAAGAACCAAGAAATGTATACTCTTTCCTGGAAGTAATTCTGATCTTTGTCTTTTAACTTGTATGGGCAAGAAGATGACAAAACTGGTCAACCAGGACAGAATTCCCCACCCCCTCCTGTGTCACACCATCTTCTCCCTACAGTCACTAAGGTGTGGCTCACTGGGCTTTCAATTGCCACATCCCTCTGACAGCTATTGGTGCACATCAGAACTCCCGACACTGACTTTATGCAACCCCATCTTAAACTGATTAGGCAGCTGGGATTAGCCCCGCCTAGCCAAAAAATACTTTCCCTTCTCAAAGTTTTACAGAGCTGTGGAAGGAGAGGGTAGAGCCACTCATTTCTCTGAGGGAAGGTGCAGCCAGAAATATGGCTAGGTCATTGGTTCTCAAAGTGTGGTCCCTGGACTAGCAGCATCAGCATCACCTGGGAATTTGTTAGAAATGCAGATTCTCAGGCCCAGGCCTCCTGGATCAGAAACTCTGATCCAGGGGCCCAACAACTCTGATCCAGGGGCCCAGCAATTTGTTTTAACAGGCCCTCCATAATATTTCTGATGCATATTAAGTTTTGAGAGCCATCCAATCAGGTGATAGTTTTGTTCCCATTGTTACACATGGTGACACTGAAGCATGGGAAGATCTAGTGGGCTGCCCAAGGTCATTCAGCTAGTAAATGATGGAGCCAGAGTTTGAACCTAGGTAGTCTGGCTCAGCAGACCACACTCTTACCAGGAATTGGAGAGAATCCACTTGCACTCTTCAAATGCCTAGGATGCAGTAGTTGAACCTTCTATTCACAGAAGTAAATGTTTACCCCTCACAGATTGGCTTCATGAACAGTGGGAAATTCAAGGCCACAGTCATTGAATGTCACATCCACGGAGGCTGCACACCAGATGATTCTGAACTGGTATGTGAATTTTCAAAAACAACTGGAGTTTGTGGTGATAGATTAAAGGTAAGCTTTGTTGGTCAGAATATAAGTTTAGAAGGTCTGTTGTGTACAGCAACCCACTTGCGTGTTGCATGGAATGTAAACTGTGATCAAAGATGACTCAAATAGCTTCCAGGTTTCCACTTCCCTCGGACTGTGGAGGACCAGCTGGGCCATTCTGCTGCTTTGAGGCACTTTGTCAAAAACAACTGCTCACTTTGCCTTTGCTACACTTTAGTCATGGCGTGCTCGTCTGATGAATGTCTCAGGTTTCCCCCCAAAATTTCCCCAGAGCTCAAGCATCCTTTCCTCTCTTCCCTCCCAACTCCCTTACCCTAGACAAGGCCAATAGGGGTCAGAGCAGGACACTCTTGGTGCCTGGAAGGAGGGAACAGTTTGGAGCCTGTCCCGGACAAATCTCTCCTCTGCTTATACCCAAAGGAACTTATTTACACACTCCCCAGCATCTCCCCTCCTGCAGAGAACCTGGGCCCCATCATTAGCGATCATCCAGGCCCAGTGGCCTTTGCAGTGTTTCATGTTCCAAAATCCCGTTGATTTCCTCCCACATTCCCTTTCACTTGCTGCCTAATCTCTTAATAATAGGCATGGGGACATCACTGGCCTATTTGGCTTTTCTCCGCTCCCCGCTGCTCTGCCTATTCGAGAAGCTTCAGAACGTGTCTTTTCTCTACCTGCTCATCTTATCAGAGGGAAGCCCCACCTGTTACCTGTGCTTCCTAAGGAGCCCCAGGATAGAACCGCCACTTACAGGCATGAATGTTCATGACCCACCCGCCCATGATTTTGTGACACACAGTTATTTTTTTTAATTCCCAATCAAATGTATTCTAATATAAATATCTATGTGCAATAGCACCTTGGAAGAGCAGATGCTGTCCTGAGATCCAGCAAACAGTCATTTGTCCTGACTCCACAAAAGGTAGGGACTGACTGTGCCCACTGGGCAGAGCTGTTCTTTCTGTTCTTTTCTCCGCCTGGGTCAGACTCACTAATTTCAGGGGAGTCACTCTATAGCATAAATACCGAAATACTATATGGTAGGTTCTTTATCAGAAACTTTGGGCTTTACTTTGGAGTCTTTGTGTTTTAAGTATGCAGAAAACAAATGGAGAAGATCTCAGGGAATATTAAAGAAGTTATAAGACTCCAGCCTAAAGGAAAAAAAAAATCTGACTGTTCATAACACTCCTAACATTTTTGTGATGTCAGGAAAATAAATAAATAAATAAATAAAAAAGGCTAACATTAAATTGTAACGAAACACAAAACATAAATTGGTTTAAATTGCAAAAATATCTTTATCTATGCATATAAGTATGGGCACATATAAATGCATGTAATTTAAAAATTAAGTCTTATTTATTATTATTATTATTATTATTATTAATTAGTAATTCAGCAGGTCAGTGAAGTAGGTGGCTGGGAGCTTGTAAGATTCCTCTCTGTGGTTGCTGAGAATTGAGTAGAGAAACACATCTCAGCCAGCATTCCTCTGGCCTGGAGAGGGAATTTGATTAGTGACGCTTAAGGTGTCATCAATCCAGGTTTCATCATTTTAATCCACTTTCACCTTGAAACAGGTAATATAATAGAATATGCTTTGCTGAAACAAAATGCTTATAAGATTTCCAACCTGCATGTCCAATGCCGAGGCTGAAAAACCAATTTGCCATCCAATACCGCTTTCCCGTGGTTAGGTTTTCCCCAGGGAGCATTTGTAACAGGGACCTGGATGACAGTTATGGCAGCCAGATGCCACAGGCCACCATAGAAGGTAACAGACATCAATCAGTCATCAGAAAAAGTCATTAAACAGATAGAAGCACAATTTTTCAAATCTCAAAATTGTTGAATCTTCAAAGCTTACTTTATTTTGAATGTGTTCTCTCAAGCTGGTTCTGTAATATTCTACAGACTAATCTTTATCGTGGATACATTCTGGGTCTTGTGAAGCGTGGCATCCTCCTCCTCCAGGTTAGGGAGTAAAACATGAATCAAATGATTGATAGGAAAACTCACGAGTATGAATTTGACCCAAAGAATCTGACAAGATGCTGGCAGAAATGTATGAAAAACTCTTCATACTACAGCTGAAAAAAGTTGCAGAGAACTTTAACCAGCAGTTATTGGAAGAAGGGAGAAATAGCCATTATTCCCATGAAATGCTCAGTTGGATATATCCAAATACTCTTATCATCAGAGAATTTTCAGAAATGCTTGTAAGCCTGAAAAAAATTCTTCAAAGGGTTTATAATACAAGATCTATAGATACTAATGTTCAGAAAATCATTTATCAACTCCTGAGTTTGGGGTACTGGTGTGGCAGATTTGTTTTTGCTGTAGTGACTATGGGGCTATTGGTTGATGAGAAATTACTGATAACAAAGAAGGTCTGGGGCTGGCCGAGTGGCACATTGGTTAAGAGCTGGCTTGGGAGGCCAGAGGGTCCCGGTTCGGATCCCATATATGAAGGCCAGTGACACTGCCCTCTACAGCTAAGATGCTGAACAACAGCTCAACCTGGAGCTGGGCTGCTGTGAGTTGCCAGCGCCGGCATGGGGTGCTTCCTCCCATTGATGGAGTAACATCTTCCCACATCCTGATCTATGAAAAACCCTAAGAGAAGGCCCTGAACAACTGTAAACATGTTACTACACATACACTTGGGCCTATAGCTTTCACTGCTAGGAATTTTTTAACAGCTCTATTGAGGTATAATTCAGTGGTTTGTAGTGTTTTCTTAGACTTGTGCACCCATCACCACAATATAATCTTAGAACATTTTCATCACCCTGAAAAGAAAAGAAAGAGAAAGAGAAAAGAAGAAAAAAATCAACTAAAAAATCCAAGGAGAATTCCACTATCACTCTTAGGAATTTAATCAATGGACATAGTCACATAAAATTTTTTTGCCAAGATATACATGCAAAGATATTCATTGTGGGAAGCTATTCATACAAGAGTGCGAGGGGTGGGGGAAGCCACACAAAGTGTTCCTAATTTGAGGCTTTTAATAAAGTATGGTGCATCTGTATGATGGACTGCTGAGCAGACATTAAAATGAATGAGGTAGATCTATATATGCTGATATGGAAAAATAACAGAAAATGCACAGTTCTGCACGAAATAGATCACAGGAGCTCTGGACTAGATAAATCCTATGGAATTCTATAAATATGTAAGAAGGTTAAACTGCACCAGATACTCTTCAGGCATGTGATGGTGACTTGTGATTCCCACACTCTACCTTTTCCAGAGGGTGTACAGGAGGAACAGCCAGGTTTCTATCCCAGGTCCTAGAAACAAGGGTATAACTGGCAGAAGAATGTGCTTTCCAATGATTGTGGCCTTTTGAAATTCTGGGATAATCTATCTGTTTGGCAGTAACTTGGGAGAGTGTCACCTTGTCCAGTTTCAGAAGCACACAAGGAAAAGGCCATAATGATGTATCAATTCTCTTTCAGTGGTTTGCTTTTTTAAGGTGTGCATTTGTCAACCAAGACATATATAGGTTACAAGAAACATCTTGACCCAGCACCACTTACACCACTGTCGGTTTCTTCTTCCTACTCACCAAAGACCATACCTTCTAGGCCATGTAACA